AAGTGGGGTGGGGTGGTGGGGCAATGGTAAGATATGTACACATATAATACCTAAGTAAATAAATAAATAAATAAATAGGGCACTAGTCATTGGATTTAGGACCCACCTTAATCCAGTAAAAAAAAAAAAAAAAAAAAAAAAAAAAAAAAAAGCCAGGGAAGGCTTGAAGAACTGCCATGAGGTTGGAAATCAGCTGGGGGTTCCTGTAGGCCAGAATTAAGCAGTCAGATCTGGAAGGATTAACTAGATTTGGATCCATTGTGAACAGGAAGGATTATGAAGAAGGTCATGGTTTAGTGGAGGAAGGAAGGAAAAGTTGTCAGGCTACAAGTCTGGAACTAGTGAAACTGAAGACCTCCACTGCCTCAGGAAAATGTGCCATAATGTAAGGGGTGTTTGAGAGTTAAAGATGATAAACAGCCAAAAAGGAAACGTAGGCAGAGGGCCAGTGGACAAGGTCAGGACTGTAATGAAACCTGAACTGCCCTGGAACAAGAACTGCCCGCTTTCAAATGCTCCACTAACCTTTCCTGTTCACACCAGCACCGTCCAGGCAAGACTGCTTTTAAAACATTATCTTTATTATTGAAAGTATTACAGGTATCCCCTCTGCAGGAAAGACCCTTGAGCAGAGGTGCCTGGGCTGCTAGTGAAGATATCGGTACATATGAACCCCTTGGATACACTAAGCTAAAAGCTCTAAGAACATCTCATTCAGGGCTTCCCCCAGCGTCTACTCTAGAACATGGGAGGCATGTAAGAAGCCACTGAGGGAGGTGGGGAAGGTAGAAAAGGGAAAAGGGAGGGTAAATGGTGATGGAAGGAGACTTGACTTGGGATGCTGAGCACATAATACAATATAAAGGTGATGCTTTATAGAATTGTACACCTGAAACATAATTTTATTAACCAATGTCACCCCACTAAATTTAATAAAAATAAAATATGTAGGGCAAAAAACCCCCACATAGAATAAGTGAGCAAATTATCTTGAAACAAAACTAATAAGTTATTTAGCAGTTCCACACTCCTGAGCAATTCATTTATATTTCCTAAGCTCTAGTTCACACAGCTTAGCATTAAGGAGAAAAGATTAAAATATTAAAACATATTAAAATTTCTAAAATCCCTTTGAGTTGAAAACTCTGGATTTTTCTTCCTTCTCCCATTCCATCTTTTCCTTTTACAACCATTTGTGGGCAATTATCAAGGTGAATGAAGGGTTGTCATTTTAAGGATGCTATGCCATTTATTATCTCAGAGACTGCAGAACTCTAGAAAATACCCACATTAAATAAAAACACCATCTCTTGCTTCATGTGTTAATACCCCATGTAATTCATGAACCATTGGTAGGTGAAAACAATACTGTATCTTTTTATTTTATAAATTAACTTTTTTTTTAAAGTTGATTTTAGACAGAGAAAGGGAGAGAGAGAAAAATGTCACTGTGAGAGAGAAACATCTATCAGCTGCGTCCTGTATGTGCCCAGCCTAGGATCAAACCCCAAACCCCGGTCTGTGCCTTGACCAGAAATAGAACCTGCAACCCTTTGGCACATGGGACAGCACTCCAACCAACTGAGCCACACCAGCCAGGGCTCTTATGTTTAAAAATTATCCCAGTTAACAACGAGAAAAAGAGACTGTTATTTAACACTGCCTTTCTATTATTAGCTAATTTTCCATTTTTTTATTATTGTGAAAGCCAATTAACAATGAACATTGTGTTGTATTATTCTTAGAATATTTACAAGCAGTTACTAAATCAGTGAAGCAATTAACACTCAGATGTATATAAAATTTTTAAAAATAAAAAACAATACAATAACATTAAAGAAACTTTTATCAATTTAAAGCATTTTTCATTTCACATGCAAATGTTTATACATGGTCTTATTAATAATGTAAGATTTCATGTGTTAACCAGGGCTGATTTTGCCCCCACCCCCAGGCACATTTGGCAACATCTGGAAAAATTTTTGATGGTCACAACTGGGGATGAGATGGGGGATGGAAGGGACTGATATTGGCATCTAATGGGCATCTAATAGGATGCTGCCACTAAACATCCTACAATACACAGGACAACCCCACAGCAAAGAAATCATCTGCAAAAAATTATCCTAAATGTCAGTGATGTTGAGATTGAGAAACCTGCTTTAGATTATAGTAAAAAAGCTGTCTTCTATAGCAACTTGTCCACATGATTTTAATAGAGGAATTATGTTTTCAACCATTTATTGAGTAGTATGTATGCCAGGTTCTATGCTAAGCACAGCACATACATTATCTTATTTAACACTAACCAAATCCTGTGAGGTATTGAAGGTTAGTAGATGATGTTTTCAAGAAACTACATGGCTGTTCAGGGTCACACAGCCAGTAAGAGCCTATATGGGGATTTAAAATGCCTACTGTCTGACTTCAAAGCCTGTGCTCTTAGTGAGTATGTGTTAATGTCATAATGAACATGGTCATATACAGATTTTCACACTTTAAGGATTATTTCCTAGCTTATTTTGAAACTATTGTTTTAAAGGGCCAAAGGAAATTGGCAATTATGCTGGTCTTTCCTACATTGTTTTCAAATTGATTTTCCAGAATTGTACCAATTTACAGTACCACCATTAAATGTGAGAAAATCCTTTTAGTAAACTGACATCAGAATTGACATTTTGACAATTAAAAACAAAATTCTTTATTTAATAAGTTAGAAAGTATATATCTGACCTTGAATAATAAGCAATTGCTGGAATTTCTCTCCCCAAATGAGGGCCACACTGTGTGAGAACAATAAGAAGAAAGTCAAGCCAATGTAAATAAAGCTTGTATTTCAAAGAATCATCTTCATTTATTCAGCAAGTGCAATTATTTGACTAATAAAGGCTTAGTCCCAAGAAAAACATTGCTGATTACTCTGTAAACTTTATTTCACATCTTTTGTTTAAATAAGCCTATGAAGAGCAAATGAGAGAATTGAATTTAATAGTTTGAAATGTTTTCTCTGATAATATTGGTGTCTTCTTTTTGCCGCACCCCAGAAAGAATGAAAAATAGATTTTTCTTGTGAATTGAGGGTAGACATATGCCCCATAACTATCCTCCTAGAAGCCTGATAGTCAATAATAATAAAAGCAACAACAAAAATACAATCATCTAGTCCAGTATTTTTAAAATAGTAGTTGTATCTCACTAGTGGATCTAGCAATCATGCTAGTAGGTTTTGACTAGAATTTTTAACATGAGAATAGATCAGAAAATAATGTAAAATTAGCAACTGCATTGCTTGTAATAAGCCTAAGAGTTATTTTGTGAAACTTAGGTTTGCAGTGTGTGTGTGTGTGTGTGTGTGTGTGTGTGTGCGAGATGGAGTAAAATTCTCATGTTTTTCAGTCTGAAAGGTTGAAAAACCCTGATCTAATCTATCTACTATATTTGAAAGGGGAGTCTGAGTGACATTAAATGATGCACAAGGATACAGAGCAGGTTAAAGACAAAGCAGTAGGAAGAAAGATCGCTTAAACAGTGGTTCTCAACCTTCCTAATGCCGCCACCCTTTAATACAGTTTCTCATGTTGTGGTGACCCCCAACCATAAAATTCTTTTCATTGCTACTTCATGACTGTGATTTTGCTACTTTTAATGAATCATAATGTAAATATCTGTGTTTTCCAATGGTCTTAGGCTCTACAGCAGTGGTTCTCAACCTGTGGTGATTTGAATACAGATAACATTTGCTTAGTGCCATTACGTCAAAATGGTGTTCAGGTTGAACTTCTCACTGGTGAAAACTGCTGCAGCTCTTCTGGAGTGAAATACTCCTCCGCTAGTTGCATTCACATTGATTCCCATATTCCTTTTCCATTAATGGAAATCTTGGGGTATAACTATTCTGTGTGATTAAATGGACCCTTCTTCTCTGGGACCTCTCCAAAATTTATTGAGTTGAAGAGGGTTATTTGAGTAGCTTAGCACAGTTGTTTCTCAAATGGGCAATCTTGCTCCCCTGGGGATATTCGGCAATGTCTGAAGACATTCTTGATTATCACAGGGGTGCTGCTGAACATCATACACTGCACAGGACAGGACCGATAGCCAAGAATTATCCAGCCCAAAGTGTCCGTCAATGATGCCAAGAAGGAGAAACCTTGGCTTAGCCAGATGACAACCTAAAATTTTCCTCCCCCCTGTTAAGGCATTTCTTTTACATTTCAAAGGTGCATTAGATAATGTCTAATTAGTAAATAGGTCAGCAACAGCATTTGGTCAAAGAACAACTGAAAGAGAGATGAGAGGATCAGTATACACCAACCTTCTAGGAAAAACAAAACCCAAAACCTACTACTAGGATAGACAATTCATTACCCTCATTGGGTGATCAGGAATCACGTCTGATTTCTCTGTCCCCATTTCCCAGCCACAGCCCTCATTAATATCAAATGCTCAAGAAGTATTTTAACAAATATAAAGCATAGTGTGTTAAAAGATTTATGAGTTAAACATGTCATGAACAAGCTGTCTTTCTCTGTATGCCTAAAACTGCAATGTCATATAAGAGAGACCCCGGAACTGCTCTCATTTAATTAGCACTGAGAACCTAGAACAAAGCCTGTTTCCAGAGCTTGCACTTCTTAGAAGCCATCTGGAAAATCCTTAAAGAAAAATTAACATCAGGATTGAAAATACATTTAATTAAAGGCCATTAAGAGCCCCAAAATCCCCATCCTTCTCTTGTGGTTTTACACTACAGTATTTCTTAAACTCTACATGTGTGACCAAACTTTTCAGGCTTGGTCACACACACTATGAAAAAAATCAATAGATTCTTTTTACTGGTGGCAAAGCCAGGCCCATAACCACCAACTATTCACACCGTATGATGAAAAATCTGATGTGAAAGGTAACATACTTAAAGAAAATGACTTGGAGGGTTAAAGAAATTGACACCCTTTTCTCTTGATTCTCATTTATGCTTTTCTTCTTTGTCAACATTGCAGGTGTTCCTGGCTCCATGCCAAATGCATCATGGACGGGTAACCTCAGAGCCGTGAAGTGGATTGACATGGAAGACAAACACGGGGGCTGCCATGGTGAGGCATGCATTTCACACTTTAAAGCCATACTGCTTGTTGGTGTTGGCATGAAGGTAGTTGTAGAATACACGGTTTTCATGGAGAGAACTGCTGGTATATTTAAACCAATCTGTGAGTGATTAAATGATTAGCTAGAGGCTTTTAGACACAGTTCTTGAAAAATACATTTAAACATTCTCCAAGTAGGTTCAAATTATAGTGGCACTTCTTCTTGGTAGTTTCTGCTTTTTTATTCTTGCTATTCCTCTTTCTGTTCCTTTGGAAAGTGCAGTGGTTAGGGAAGAGGTAAGGGTGAGTAGTGATGTCATCCAAGAGCAGGCTGGACCCCATCCCTCTCATCAGCCTCTCCTCCCTCCACAGCCAGGCTTCCGGGTGGGAGGTGTTGACTGCAGCTCCTGCCTGGTGGCAAGTAGCATTAATGAGAGGTTTCTCTTCCAATGGACAAGAACTTGAAATCCCAAGTAGTCTTGTTTCTATAGAATCTTACGAAGAAGGGTTATGAGTTTTGTTTACATTTCATTCAAACTATTGCCTTCTATATAGTGGGCATGTGTGTTTGTTTGCTAGGACTAACAGAAGCAAAGTCATTTTACACATAACCACAGACTGGGTGGCTTACACAAAGGAAATTTATTTCCTCACTGTCATGGAAGCTGGAAGTCCAAGATCAAGGTGTCATTGGATTTGGTTTCTTCGGAGGGCAGCTCTTTGGCTGATAAAAGTCTGTCTTCTCTGTGTCCTCACATGGTCTTCCCTCTGTGTGTATCTGTGTCCTAATCTCTTCTTATCAGACATCCTCATTTTAACTTAATCATCTCTTTAAATACAGTCACAATCTCCAGTTCTGGAGGTTAGGACTTCAATATGTGAATTTTAGGGGTACACAACTCCAGCCATAATAGCACACAATTAATACTTATTCAGTGTCTGATTAAGTGAATGTATGAATGACTATGGATGTTTGACATTTTTCCCCTGCAATAATAAGCCTTTGCTTCTCCACTCTTCTATTCAATCCACAGCCTTACTTATCAATCCATTTTCTCTACACCTAATTGTAGAGTGCTGCTTTCCACACCTCTCCATCACACTCAGCCTCCTTTTAAAAAAATTTATATATATATATATATATATATATATATATATATATATATATATATAAAAGCCTAGCAACCATTGCAACCAAATGGATGACCGAACAGGCTGCATGGGGTAACCAGGCAGTCAGTGAGGGGTGACCAAATGACCAAGCAGCAGGCTGCATGGGGCAACCAAGCTGGCAGGGGGGTTAGTGAGGGATGGCCAAATGACTGAACAACAGGCTGTGTGGGGCAACCATAGGGTGAGGGGAGGGAGGAGAGGTAAGAGGTAAGAAGTAAGGCTTCTAGGAGGATAGTTATGGGGCATATGTCTACCCTCAATTCACAAGAAAAATCTATTTTTCATTCTTTCTGGGAAGCTGCAAAAAGAAGACACCAATATTACCAGTAGAGAAGGTGTAGGCTAGTCAGTAGGCTAATTAAATGAGAGCAGTTCCAGGGTCTCACCTGGGAGTGTCAAGGCCGAGGCAGTTGGGGGCAACCAGGCCGGCGGGGGGGGGGGGGCAGTGAGGGGCAACCAGGTCATCATAGGGGGGCAGTTGGGGGTGACCAGGTCAGCATAGGGGGGCAGTAAGGGGCAACCAGGCCAGTGGGAGGGGGGTGGGTCAGTTGGGACAACTAGTCTAGCAGAGGGGTCAGTTAGGGGCTATCAGGCAGGCAGGCAGGTAAGTAGTTAGGAGCCAGTGGTCCCAGATTGTGAGAGGAATAGCCCAGATTGGAGAGGGTGCAGGCTGAGCTGAGGGGATACCCATTCCCCCATACATGAATTTTGTGCACCAGACCTCTAGTATATATATAATTCTATTGTTGAAAATATTACATATGTCCCCTTTTTTCCTCATTGACCCCCCCCCTCCAGACCACCCTCCCTTCACTCCTTACCCTACCCCTCCCCAGCCTCAGGCCTTCAGCTCCCTATTGTCTGTGCCCATGGGTTATGCATATAAGCATATAAGGTCTTTGTTTGATTACCTCCACTCACCCATGCTCCCCTGCCTTCCCTCTGAGAGTCCACACTCTGTTCCATGCTTCCATGTCCGGTGTCTTTCTCCTGAGAGTCCCACCCCACTGTGGATGGCAACATCCCCACATCACTGTACAGAAACTTCAGTCTATTTATTCTTCAGCACGTTTATATCCTTATCTTAATCAGCCCACATTTTCTCAGAAGACAGCTCATGCCACCTGCCTGCAGTCTCACCACAGCCTGCCCTTCTACTGAAGGAGGAGAATGGGAGGAGGTGGCTTTGCTCTCAGAGCTCCTAGGCCTTCTTTAGAAATCAGACCATCCCCATCAGTCATGGTCCCAATGTTTGGGCTGTGTGTCTTCCCCACACCCTTCTATAACCCCCATCCTCCTCCTTCTGGGACCAATGCAGTCATCCCCTGATCTGCTTCTCCACCTCCTCTCCAGCTGAGGACTTGAGGACTTGAACATCCCCAACCGAGATCACATGACATCATTCCTTTGTAGTGCTAGCCCTCCACAACCACAGAAACTCCCATTTCCACTGCACAGCAGCCACTGCTCCCCGCCCCACTTGCCCACCAAGTGAAGCCTTACCTCAGTCTCCTTGTCATCACTTCTATCCAGACTCTGTCTCAGTAGAGAAGGTGTAGGCTAGTCAGGTTTGCATTTTTTTTAGGAACCTTTACTGATCACATGACAGGAGGGCGCCAGGAGAGAAGCCCCTAGCCAGGGAACCTACACTGGGTACAAAGCTTAGATAGCCCAAGCCCCTCTCAGACAAATGTCTCACTTTTCTTCTCTTGGTCCCTGTTGTGCCAACGAACATCTGAAAGCCTTATAAAGTTCAGAGCATAAAAATGACTTGTTCCCCCAGCCCTGGCCAGTGTGATTCAGTTGGCTGGGCATCATCCTTTACACCAGAAGGTGGCGGGTTTGATTCCCACTCGGGGCACATACCCAGGTTGTGGGTTCAATCCCCAGTCAAGGTACATATGGGAGGCAACCAATCAATGTTTCTCCCTCACATCAATCTCTCTCTCTAAAATCAATTAAAAATAAAAATAAATATATTTCCCCAAACAACTCTAGAGGAAAAAGGAACAGACATAAGTAGAAGCAGAACACTGCATATCAAGTCAGCAAGCGAGTAATACAATCTGGACTTTTTCCCTTTGGTTGTGAGTAATGGGATTCATTCCAAACTCCAGTGTGTACCTGCTTTACCAGCCCTCTCAGCAGCTGGGCTCGCAGAGCACCATTCCAGCTTTATGGTCTTGGACTCAGAGCTCACATCACCACCTCTTTGTCACACTACTAATTTCCTTCACCAATTTATGTGTTATATATACTTACTTTCAACCTGGAACAGAATAGAAGCTCCAAGAGGCCTAGGATTTTTAACCAAATTGTTCATTGTTATATCCCCACACCTAAAATATGTCATTGCTGTTGTCATCGTTATTATTTTTAAATGTGTTTGCTTTTTTTAAATTGGGATTTCCAGAGGTTCAACTTTTCCAGCCTTTTCCTTGTACTGGCTTCCTTCCAAGGACTCCTTGTCCAGCCGCTGTACTGTACCGGCCATCCATGCTGTCTTCACTAGCATTTGAGGTTCCCTCGCCATTTGACCCTGCAAGGCCGATTCCTACACTTGATCTTTACTGACATCTGCTTTTTGCTGCTTGTGTTTCCCTAAACAGAACATTGCTGGAGAAAGGGTAAGGGACCTGCCATCTAACTTCAGCTAGATGCTCCAAAGCACCTACTTATTTTTTTATCTACCTCATTATTTTCCTGGTGCCCTGCCCAGCATTTACCATTTTAGCTTTCCTGATTACCTCTAAGCTCTTAATCTTATGCTAAAACATCCTTTCAAACAATGAATTTTTCAATTCTAGGAAGAACTTTCAAGACATTTAATCAAAATCCCCTTACCAATTCCTTTTCCGTATCACCCTTTTTCTCCATCTTAGAGTATTTTTGACACATTCTCTCATTTTCCTTCCTATTTCAAGAGGAAAAGTTACGCATCCTCACCACCAAGTTTACCATCTGTGGTCTCAGTTATGTGTGGGTCCCCTACATGATCCCCTTGCTCTCTTGCTTTCTCAGGGTCTTTCTCTCTGATGATTCTTTTTCTTCTCTCTGCAAGTATGTACTTACTGCTTCTGTCCTCAAGATCAAGTTATTCAAGCACCCTCTGCTTGATACAAACTGAAGTATTCTCTCCTGTTCACTTCCATTTTTTTAAGTATGTGTATGCTGCCTATGTGTTCAGTTCTCCTCACCTCAAAGTTGTTCTTAAGCTTCTCATCCAATTATTATTTAACTTCCCACAACTCTGGCTTCTTTCCCCAATGATTTCCTCTCAATTGTACTTCCTTCCTGCCACATTGAATTTAATCATCAAGACCTGTCAGTCCTTCTGAATTCTATCTCTAATATCCTTTCTTTCCCACTCATGGAAATTATTAACTTTGAATGAGCTTTCTGGTTTACATTAAGTTATTACTGTAGTCTCTTGATTGATTTCAAATGTACCCTGCCAAGTTCTGCAAAATTAATATTGCAAAAATGAATTTCACCATTTGATTCATCTATTCAAAAATCTTCAAAAACTCCATAATTATGGGATAAAAAAAAGGCACAAGTCTTTTTAATTTAAGTCAATCATCCATAATAGTTCTACCCTGTGCCTCACAACCTCTGAAAAAGAGTTCCAACTTCCTACCATTCTATTCTAGGCCATTCTCCAATAAAACTACTATTCCTGCAGAAAATTCCCATCTCTACAGTTTCTTAGAGGCATTTTCCCCAATTGAAACTCTCACCCATCCCTCTGATACTTGCTAATTCTACCCATCCACCAACTCTCCACTCCTCTTCCTCCATCCTTTTATTCAAAAAATATTAATTTAATACCTAATATTTACCAGGCACTGTTCCAGATGCAGGGGACACACAGGTGAACAATCTGGTCTCAAATGCCAACTCTTCTGGAGCTTATAGTCCAAACTAGGGAGAAAGACGATAAACAAAATAATGTTTTCCTTCATGGCACTGATATATACATCAGTTAGTAATAAGTGCGGGAAGAAAAATGAATCAGGGAAAGAGGAAGAGGAGGACAAAGAAGGCCACCGAGAAGATAGCCTTGAAGCAGAGACCTGGGGCGGTGCGAGAGGATAGTCCTGAGGATGTCTGGTGAAAGGGGGCAGTCCAGGGGAGGAAGAGCAAACAGGGATTCTCAAGTAGAACATGCCTGGTGTGCTTGGGACCAGCACAAAGGCCAGTGTGTCCGAAATGAATGAGCAAGGGTTACTAAGGGTTATAAGTGATTGAGTAAGTGGTGGAAGGTAAATCCAAGAGCTAGACTCTGAGAAGTCTTTTCTTTCTTTCTTTCTTTCTTTCTTTCTTTCTTTCTTTCTTTCTTTCTTTCTTTCTTTCTTTCTTTCTTTTTCCTTTCTTTCTTATTGATTTCATAGAGGAAGGGAGAGGGAGAGATAGATAGAAACATCAATGATGAGAGAGAATCATTGATCACCTGCCTCCAGCATGTTCCACACTAGGGATTGAGCCCACAACCCAGGCATGTGCCCACACCGGGAATCAAACTGTGACCTCCTGGCTCATAGGTCGACACTCAACCACTGAGCTATACTGACTCTAAGAAGTCTTAAAATGCCATTGATAGGATTTTGGCTTTTGTTTTACATGAGATGAGAAGCCATGTAAGCAGAGGAGGCTTACATGGTCTGCTTCCATTTAAAACTCATTGTGGCTATCATGCTGAGAATATTACTAATAGGCAGAGGTGGAGTCAGCAAAACCAGTTATTATTACAACAGCTCAAGACACAGAAAGATGGAGGTGACTTGGACCAGGATGGTAATATTGAAGGTGGTGAAAAGTATGACTATTTTATTTATTTTGAAGATTGAGCTGACAGAATTGCTGAGAAGTTGGATGTGGAGTGTGAAAGAGAAGGGAGAAATGCTGAAATCACCAGAGAATAGAATTGCTGTGGATTTCAATGGGGAAGACTTGGAGAGGGTTAAGGAGTTCAGTCCTGACATGTTATCTTGGTTAAGTTTATTACTTATAATGGTTAGGTTTATTACTTTATACTTAAGTGAAAGTATAAAGTAGGAATTTAGAGAGATTAGGCTGGAGCTCAGGGAAGAGGCCTGACCAGTGAGACCCATTAAGTCATCTGCATACTTCTAGAACCTCCCATCCTTAACTTTTAATCAGATAATATGTGAATTGCCCTGTGATGCCTAGTGTTATTGCTTTGTGTTATTTAACTCTCATTTTATTCAAAGACATATTTATAGCCTTTGTCTTTCTATAAACAGTTGAACTTTTTGTAGGCTGGTCCTATATAATCATGTTTCATTAGAATCCCGTAGCACTGCTCTCAGTTTTGGCTACACAATGGTCACACAGTAACTGGATCACTGCAAGTTCACGGCCCCTGACTCTTGAAAGCCAGCATGTCTGATGTTTTTTGTTTGTTTGTTTTCTCCTTTGCAGGCCACTACGTGCGTGGCATTTGCATCTATGGAAATGGAGACTTAAAGTGGTTGATCAATTCGCCGAGCCTTTTTGCTAACAAGTTTGAACTTACTACATACCCCCTTACTGTGGAATGCCTAGAACTGAGACTTCGAGAAAGAACCTTAAATCAGAGTGAAACTGCAATACAACCCAGCTGGTATTTTTGATCGCCTGCAACTTGTGATTGAAGGGAAGTCGCTGATGGGAAGAAGAGCTTTTGAGAGAAGACTACACCTTGGCCAACAGTTTCAGGACTGAGGTCATGACCTCAGGATCTGGCTCCACTACTGTATGTTGAAATATCCACTGGACAATAACAGGAAGCTGTGCGGAGGGGCCCTGGCCCTTTGTTCCTCTGGCTGTTTCCTGATGCGAACCTCTGTGCCAGATTGTTGTTCTGATCAATGATCATTTTCACTGTTGTCACATCTTTGCACCAAATGCTCATCGTATATAAATGTCCTGACCAAAAGGAGAAGTGTAGGTAATATGATTTAGGAAAGAAGACCTGGATTTCTTTGAGGAGGGTATCTTTTATAACAGATCTATAGCCACATATTAATGAACACCATTCTACTTTGCTCAACTGTACATGGATGTACAAGCAGTTTTCTGGGTAACTCACCAATCTCCTTTAGAAGTTGAGCTACTAGAACTGAAGAACTAAATCCTGCTCCTGAGTTTTAGCATTAGCCTTTCCAGTTTTCTTGCTGAAGTTCCGTATAGACTTCAAAGTCATTAACAGGAGGCAGAATGTGATTTAGGCGGTCACTGCCTGCTGCTTCAGTAAGAGGACCCCGGAGGGAAGCAGAACATTTCTCGATTATATCAGAATGTGCTCTGATCCCCCTTTCATCATTGAGAATGTTGAAAAGTTCTCACAGAATGAAGAAACTCCTGGAAGAGAGGTGGTATTGCATAGATCTAGTCTCAAGTCTCTTATACCTCTTCTACCACCCCCCTCCAACCCCCACCAAAGTTATCTTAACTGCAAAATGGAGACCAAATTCTATCCTTGAGGCTTTAACAATGCCATAGTGTTCTCTGAGTGGCTTAACGATGTCTGGTGCTGATAAGAATGCCTAGATTTTTAAGAGCTTTCAATTGTGGGTGAGCATCCCTGCATTTGTCCCTTGTCCATTCCCTCATCCAATTCATTCAGCAAGCAGTCAGTACATATTTATTGGGTATCTAACTGTACACCAGACACATGCTGAGACAAAGAGGGAAACCTAAGACGCAAGCTTTTTCACTCTAAAAATCTCGGCAATGCGAAGGTTGTAAAGACTGCTCTAGAGAACCTCGATGGTTGTATTTTAATACATTCACATATAGACTGTAGATTGTGATATCAGACCAAGGATCTCAGTAATTACAAATTGAGGTTTAAGTCAGAGATCACTCAAAAGAAAGAAGGGAAGGAAGCTAAAAAAAAGTTCTGTGTTCAAGACATTCAACTAGCTCACTGCATTTAAACCTCACAGACCTCCTGTGAGGTCCTCATTATCCCTGTTTTGCAGATGAAGTGAGTGAGGCTTAGAGTGGTTGTTACTAAGCACTAGGAAACAAGCTCTCTGTCTGACAATTGGAATTCTCCTACCGGTCTTAGTTCATTTCCTGGGGTGGACTATTAAAGAAGGTGAAATATAGCCATATTTAGAATACCAGATAAGGTAGGTTTTAAGAATGATCTCAGTGTTAATATTGAGAAAATGTCCTATCACCTCAGAAAAGTGTGAAGTCTACTTTTATATTCCTCTAACCCATTGAGTTCCTTAATATTTATTTATCTTCATGAAAAACAGTGACTACAACTAATGATGCATTTAATACAATTTTTTCTTTTTTTCTGTAATTGTGCTTGTTAAATGTTAATCATATTTAAAGAGAATGACTGAAATAAAATGTTCTTTGTTCCTGCTGCTTTAAAAAGATGGAAGTGCATTGGGTGGTAAAGGGTTGAGGGTTAGGGAACACACTGAGAGCTAATGGCAAAGTCATTTTTCAACTTACTTAACTGACACCACCTAGAAGAAGAAATGTTTTACACTGGATATTCTCATATAGTACGAGAAATCTTTTGGAATAGATGTTTACATGTCCATTGCTAGTCACCTCTCCTGTGTCTTTAATACTTCAATCTTGGAAGAATGTAGTGTAGTGTTGGACTAGTGGCTTTTTCCTTTCCATGGAGATGACCTTAAACTACTGAATCTGACTTTGTTTGTGATGCTGTTATATGTTGTTTTCTTGGAAATAAATTAATATATTGTTTTCCACCTTCGGGGCTGCTATGCATTTTTTTTTTAATTTTTAAAATATATTTTTATTGATTACAGAGAGGAAGAGGGAGAAGGAGAAGGAGATAGAAATATTAATGACAAGCCTTGGTCAGTTTGGCTCTATGACAGCCTGTGGACTGAAGGGTCCCAGGTTTGATTCCGTCAAGGGCATGTGCCATGGTTGTGAGCTTGATCCCCAGTAAGGTGTGTGCAGGAGGCAGCAGATCGATGTTTCTCTCTCATTGATGTTTCTAACTATCCTTCTCCCTTCCTCTCTGTAAAAAATCAATAAAATATATTTTTTTAAAAGAAACATCAATGATGAGCATCACTGATTGGCTGCCTCCTACACGCTCCCCACTGGGGATCGAGCCCACAACCCAGGCATGTGCCCTTGACCAGAATTGAATAAGAGACCTTTCAGTTCACTGGCCAATGCTCTATCCACTTGAGCCAAACCAGCTAGGGCTGTTATGCATTTTTATTTGATAGTTGGTTAATAGTCACTATTCCTAATATTTGTGTTGGGGGAAGTCTCCTCATAAGAACAATGACCCTGAGAGCACCCCTGTCCAGAAGGAAGCTGTCCCTACATTCTTGCTCCAATGCTAGACAATGCAGTTCCTTCCCATATTTCCCTGGGTCCCCACAGCAATTGGCCCAGCTCTGGAGCTCAGAGGGAGTGAGTCCAAGTAAGTTTCTCTGCCAGCCCTTTAAGAGGAACTGTCTGGGTCTCCACCAGCCTCTGTATCACTCAGCCACAATCCTTGATGGTTTTTACAGCCTTAAGTTCTCTTCCAAGCTCTGGAACCCTGGGATGGGGGTGTGGTATGGGGCTGGGACCACTTGTTCCTCACAGGAAACCTCCACAGCCAAGATATCTCTCCTGATTTAAAACACACACACACACACACACCACCACCACCACCACCACCTCCACCACATGTGGGTGTCAAACCAGCCCATTCCTCACTTCTGCCTCTCCTACCAGATTCAATGTGCTTTCTTCTTTATTTCTCTAGTTCAAAGACTTCCATTCAGCCAGCTTTCAGGCGGTTCTGGATGATGGTTATTCTGTATTTTAGTTATAATTTTGATGTGGTTGTGGGAGGTGGTGAGTACCAGCATTTACCTACGTCACCATCTTGGTTTGCCTCTGCATACTATTTTAAATATTAGCAGTATAGCAGCGATCCTTTAATTGTTCCCAACATTAAAGGGCATGTTTAACTCTTGTGCATGTTGTTAGAAGTTTCATGTAGGTTTCTGGTAGATACACTTTTACTGAGTTAAGAATAAGAATACCAGAATATAAATATATTATGTTTTTTCCTTTTCATTCCCAGTCACTATTTCTTTTGTTGCTTCATGGAGTTATAGGTGATTTGGGTATTTTAATGTTTAATTTGCACATGTTACTTCAGAGGTGAGAAGTCACTACTTATTTTTTAAACTGTAAGAATATAGTATAGCAGTCTATGTCAGGGGAAACTGGAGCAGGGATCCATTTAAACAGATTAGGTAAACAGTTGGGAGTTTGGAAGACGAATGCCTGAACTGGAAGGTTCCTAACCCCTTTTCTTTTTAAATAGATTTTTTACTGTGTTGTGTTTTTGTTTTGTTTTGTTTTGTTTCAGAGAGAGGAAGGGAGAAGAGAGAAACATCAATATGAGAGCACAACATCAATCAACTGCCTCCTGCATGGCCCCCACCAGGAATTGAGCCCGAAACCCAGATGTGCCCCAACTGGGAATTGAACCAGCAACCTTTCATTATACTAGACAACACCCCACCATCTGAGCCACATGGGCCAGGGCACAACTCCCTCTTATGGTCAGGACGATTTAGAGATTAAGTGGTCAAGCTAACGGGAAAGATACTGGAGGTAAACCTTCTCCCAGGGCCAAATTCTGACCTTGGAAAGAAGACTAACCATGATGTCTTGAGAGGAAGAGAGTAAAAGGTGAAGCTGACCATGCTCACTTTTCTGTGAGGAACACCTGCAAGCTTTGAAAGTGGTGGGCATGCATGGTGGCTCTCTGAAAGATTACCTTTGACTAGTCCTGTTGCAAGCACAGGAAGCCTGACCTACATCTCGGGAAGGATACTGGGCCTATATTAGATGGATGAGCTGTATAATCTAAAACTAAAGGGTTCTTAAGAAAAGCAGACAAAATTCAGAAGCTGATGGCCAGCATCAAGTGTCAAACTACAGAAATGAATTTCAGGCATTATGTGATCAGGGGTTGAGGATGTTAGGAGAAATAGTTGAAAAAAAGTTGTGCAAGATTAAAGTGAACTATTTATGAGCTTCAGGCCATTTATTTCAATTAAAGTGAATTATTAGTGAAATTCAGACTATCAGCTGTACACAAGGCAAACATATAGGGTTTTAGAGAGTTTTATAAAAGTTTTATTTTGAAATACATAACTTTAGACTTAGAAAAAAGTTACAAAAACAGTACAGAGAGTTTTTGTAGATCTTTCACCCAGCTTTTCCTAATGTTTAACATCTTGTATAGCCAAAGTTAAATTCTCAAGACCAGTTTTGTTTTGTTTTTAATTCTGTGCTGGCTGTCTTGAGAGTTGGAGCCAGCTGACTCTGACCTTTGCATAGGACAGGCCAGATGGGTAAGGAGAGTCCCAATAACCTGTTGTGCCATCGCATCAAACCAAATGACAGAAAGAGACAGGTTTCAGGAGATGCTTCCTGATAAAAACTGTACTATGGAAAGGAAAACTCTAAACATTCTCTATTTCAATCTATGGAAATAAGATAAAAGAAAGGATGAGAAAGAAGAACAGGTTTATAGTCACATCCCTAAGAAAATTGTGGAGGAAAGCAGGTGTGTGGCAGTTAAAATATGTCTTAGACCTTACAGATC